AGCGTGTCAATTACGTGCGGTAGGCTATCAGCCCCTCAGTGGCTCAAACTTTTGATACGCAAGATCAAGCCACTACACTAATGTTTCATAAGGCTGTGTGGGTCGTGCAGTAGTGTCAGGGTGTTCCTATATGTTCTTACATTTTCTTACCTTTGTTATTTTCTCTCATGCTGTTGTTTTTGCAGATCTTGCACAATATGGGTGATGTGCAATATGTTGTGTTGTTCTGCGTTGGTGTGTGTCTTTCTGTTTATGGATTCTAGTGGAAGCAGCTGAATGTTTGGCAGCCAAAAGTGTATTTCATCGTATAAGTTCTGACTCCTTCCCAATCAGAGACTTGTTTTGAGGGGATTATAAAATAAAGATTTAGGAGTCTTGCCCGAGGACACATCTGACATGTGGATGCAGGAGCTGGGAATCGGACCCCTGACCTTCCATTTGAGAGAGACGACTCCAGCAACTGAGCCACAGCCGCCCCATAATGTGAGTGAGTGAGTGAGTGAGTGAGTGAGTACCTAGTTCTCTCCTCCACTGAGCCTTCTTGGCGTCGACGGCCGCTCTGCTCTCTGACTGTCGCTGGTCCATCCAGCTGAACAGACATCCAGACGACCTGAACAACAGCAGCAGAGACATTCTGCTTTTAACCCTCAACTTACAGAAATACAGATTTCTAAAAACATGTCAGCGCACTGAGGAAGCACATGAGAAATGTCTTTTAATAATACTGCTGGCTGATGTTATGAAGAGAAGAGCCAAGTGGGTAAATGATAAAGAACCGTATGTTGTCCCTTTACATTTCCTCTACGGGATGGAGAGCAGAAAGAAAGGGGGAATATTTAACAAAGCTGTCAATCAGTGAAAGACCTTTTTTGTGTTTTTATAATGAAGATCCAAAAACAGTCAAATAGTCATTAAAAAGTAAAGTGATGCCTTTTTTATTCAAGGTGATATAAGAGGAGAAAATGAACCATGTTCACTAAAGATATCCTATCCTGAGTCCTCTGCATTATTATAATCTGCTCAGTATGTATTTCTAAGTTTTCTTTATGGGACTGGATCTGAAAAGAAACCTTGTTGTCATACAACATATTTCTGTTGACGTGGGCTCCCTACCTGTTGTTTTTGTCCTGTGAACATCCAGGTATTTCTGTTCCTCCTCCTCCTCTATCTTCCTCCTTCATCTCTCCTCCCTCATTAGTCGAGGAGTCAGATTTTGAGCCCGTTTTGTTTTCTAAGAAAAAAAAAACAAAAGAGTGTCCATTACATTGTCAAGGTTAAAGGCAAAAACAGTCAACATGGCGGCGCACTATGCTGCTTCCACATTTCCACATTGTCCTTGTCCTGCCTCCAGGGCCGACCCACCCCCAACTCAGGAAGATTTTCAGGTGCAGCCGGTCTGAAATGTTCTTGTATATTTCAGGAGTGTATATGTGAAATGGCTTTAGCCTACCGTGTGTCCTGCTTTCCTCCGGCGGGAGTCGGCCTGTGCTGGAGGTCTGGACCGTGTTGAGGATCTTCTGAAGCTGCTCACTGGTCAAACACACCATGCCATCCTTCAGTCCTGTGTCCCCCCTGACCGATGTGTCCTTTGTTCCCTTCTTCCCCCCGGCTTGTGTACCACTGCTCTGAGGCTGTCCTGGCTTCCCATTGGTCCTCAGTGAGCCAACAGTGGTGCTGTGTTTTTGTCTGTCAGACTTCACCTTCACACAATCATGAAGAACATTGCACCCTGTGGTGCTCTTCCCCCCAGTGGTGGCTGTGTTGGAGGTGAAGGAGGTAGCTGCTCCTCCTCCTGTCTTGCTCTTGCTCTCTCTGTGCCTCACTGCCAGCTGCCGGGCCGGACGCTCCTCTCCCTGCAGCTCATCCACACAGGATGGCTGCCTGGAGCTCAGGATGTTTGCCGTTCTGGGCCTACAGGACGGCTGCTCCGATTCAATTCAATCAGAAGAGATCAGAAAACGTTGAGAACGTTCATCATGTTAATCACATTCTGTCTTTTAAGTCTATTACAAACATGCGTTGACTGTGTGTCTACAAACTCTTGGTCAGATATTGCAGTTATTTAAAGATTTATGAATTTGATATCCAGGCTGTAAGCAGGATTCATACCTTCGATGGATTCTTCTCAGAACCTGTACAAGAAAAAATATGTGACAGTGAGCAGCTTTGAATGTTACACCACATTAAATGTCACACAGGTTCATATTCAGTTCAACAGATCTGTAACAATACACTGCCTAAAACCTCAGACTTAACTTACATATCAACTTTTAAGAAGACTTAAGTATTGGTATACTGGATGACTTATTTCCTGTTGTAAATTAAATAAATCTTACTCCTACTTTTCCATATTACATGCATGAATATGAAGATGAATTTAATCAAAATTAAATAAAAACTCAACAAAAAAAAACATAAATTATAATTGTACTACATTTTTAAAAAGCAGTATGTATCCCAGTTAAAGTAATACATTGTTTTTTTTGTGAACATTGTAAGTGCATCATTTTCTTTCATCTTCTGTTTTCATCTGATTTATCCACCTATCATTTCATCAAAGTTCAGTTTAATATGTTAATCGTCAAACAGATCATAAGGAGAGCAAATAATCCCTGGAAAGCTAACGATTTGAGGGATGAGATGTATGGCAGTGCTGGGAAATTGATCGTGTTTCAACTTCAATCATCACGACCTTAAAAAACAGTTATTTAATTTGTATGTTGTTGTTTTTTTATATACATCTTTATTTTATTTCACTTGTTTATTTTGTTTGTGTGTTAAAAGTGTTTAAATGCATGCGATGCAGATGTTCTTAAATCGATGAGTGATCTTGTTTTATAATCTTGATCTCAATATCAATCAAACATAATCATGATTAAGACTTTTTTTTTCCCCCATAATGAGCAGCTCACCATGACTGAGTAGAATCAACCTGGGTTTTCCATTTTCAAGTTCAAACAGCAGGCCATCTCTGTTCATGAAAAAAGGGGAAAATATCAGACTTATTTCACAGAACCAGAAACATCTCATTAAAGAATGTGTCTATTTCACTCTGATAGTTTTATTTATTTATCAAATTAATTGTCTTTATTGGACAATCACAAGACAGCACTGTCTGTTTCTTAGGACCTCTGGTAAGACTTTAAATTGTTATTGTTTCACAGGTTTTGACTTTATCTCAGTACAGACATCAAGCAGCAGATATAACGAGGTTTAAGGTTAATCCGCATTGCCAGCTCTTTGTTTCCATATCAGTACAGTTCCAGTATGAATAGTGGTGATGTGCAGGTCTCAAAAAGCATTTCTTTGCCCGTATTTGACAGCAAGAAATACAATTATTCCCGTCCATTTCAATGCGACACAAATGGTCAAATGTTAGCTTAGCCAGCTACGAAAATCTGAGACAAACAGACGTACCCGAGATTCATGCCCAGGGGAAATGTCAACAGATCACAGCGTTTACCGACAGCCCTTTAAAAGTCTGAACACACGTCTGGTGATTAATTGTTTTACTGAATAAAAAGCAGTCCTGTCTCTGGACTCTCTGGACTGACCGCACTGCCAGGCAGTCACACGCCAGTTCCTGGATGTTAACTTGTGTACGTTGGTTGCTGACAACGACCAAGAACGACTTCACTGATTGGCTCTTTCTTATTCACTTTAAACTCAACAGCCAATCAGTCTTCGTCTGCCTCATATTGACGTTTTGCGTTGGAATGTGTTGCATTCAAGGATACTGGGATTTTTTTTAATCGTCTCAATAAACCAAAATAGAACGATTAGAGTGCATCCACTCGTGAAATACAATGCTGCCGTGTTTTGTATCCAGCATTAAATTTCCTCTACATATACTTTATTTCAACTGTCTTTTATTGATTTTTGCATTAATTGTAGACATCTCACATTACTCACACATTAATCTTCCTATTTAAGACTAGTAATGCTTAGTGAAATCCTGGTTGTATATATTCACATTCTTATTTTTGATATCTTTTAGTACTTATTTACTTTGTAGTTAATATTATATTGTGTTTAGATTTGCTAACATTGTGTTCTTTACTAATATTGTGTGTTGGATAACCTGCTGCTGTAACGTCACAATTTCCCAGTTTGGGATCAATCAAGTAATTCTATTCTATTCTATTCTATTCTATTCTATTACACGTATGCTGGCTGCTGGAACACCTAAATTTCCCTGCTGGGATGAATAAAGTATATCTTATCTTATCTTTAACCGCTATAAGAAACCCAAAGTAAAATTGAAATTGCAACTAAAAGGAGGAGAGGAGGAGGAGAGGGGGGGCTACATGAGGTTCTCAGTCAGTCACATTTGTGCTCGGCAGATTGTTAAAGCCTCTACATACACTTTAAAGTCAAACGCTGTTTACAGGTCCTATTCACGCAGTCAAATAGATATGCGTTTTCTACCGAGTCTATAGAACAGAAAGGACACTTAACTTTATTGAGTATCAATTTCACATTCTTTGGCATCACTATGGAAGCCCATTTCCGCCAGTAAAAAAAATAAAAATGAAAATAATAAAGTCTCATAATTTCATCAATTTTATCTCATTATTTTGACTTAACTCATTATTATGACTTTATATCTCATAATTCCGACTTCATAGCTCATAATTTCAACTTTTTATCTCATTATTTTGACTTTTTATCTCATTATTTTGACTTTTTATCTCATTATTTTGACTTATCTCATTATTATGACTTTATATCTCATAATTTCAACTTTATATCTCATAATTCCGACTTCATAGCTCATAATTTCAACTTTTTATCTCATTATTTTGACTTTTTATCTCATTATTTCGATTATTATCTCATTATTGTGACTTTATTATTTTCATTTTATTTTTTTTAACTGGCGGAAATGGGCTTCCATACATCACAGATCTACCACAACAAACATGACTGCGTGCACTTCTCAGAGGGGACGCATTTCTCGCCATAGCACCGGTGTTACGCTGTAGGTGGCGCCGTAGAGTCTCGTGAAAGCCGAACAGGCTGCGTTAGCGTCGCTTGTAATGACGTTAGCCTCCTGGATGTGTTTTTTTTTTCCGCCGTTAACGAGTTTGAATAGCAGGGACCGACATCCACGGAAACCTCCCCGGTCTGTTGAAGCACAAACCACCGTGACCTTCCCGCACATCCCAGCTCGGCGTCCTCCCTTGCAAGCCCTGACGGTAAATGTTGTTATTGTGACAGCTCGGCGGAGAGAGAGAGAGAGAGAGAGAGAGAGAGAGAGAGACTGCGTAACGTCACACACCGTGATGTTAGCCGTGTAGCTAGCGTTAGCATTAAACTGCCGTTAGCGTCGAACAAACGTCTGTGTTTACCATCAGGGGACACGGAGATTTATCTACGGCGATTCTCGAACCGTAATGTCATTAAGCAGTCTGAGGTTAACTTTCACTCGAGGCTGATTTAAGATGAATGTAGCTGACTTAGCGTGCTAGCGTGTTTAGTCAGGCTAAGGTCAAGAAAGCTGGCCAGTCTGACAGCTAACGCTAACTAACATGGTCCCCAGGAGTCTGTAAACGTGTTGTGTGGCAGCGTTGACTGACACCGTGATCAAGCTGTCGTAGGAAGATGAGCTGGTGGTGTGTTTTCTTTTAGCCTCAAGAGGTGGGTACCCTGGAAGTTTCATTAGCCAAGAAGGCTAGCTCGGTGGTGAAAAAATAATAATAATAATGGATCCACAGAGGATGTGGGTCCTTGTGTCCATTAGATTGGTTGGTTGGTGCAATGCTCTGTGACAGGTTATCAGTGTGATTGCACGAAAAGCTGATACTGCAGGTTCGGTGGCTTGGATTTAAGATTAATTAGCTTCAGTCTCAGGTAAGTGTCAATTTACTGTGTGTAATGATGACCATGTTGTCATACCTCTGCTTTTTTTTTTTTTTTTAATGCTGCTTTATATTAGTGTGTATTTGTAAGCTTGGTGCATCTCTGGTTTTGCAGATTCAGAATTGTCATAGCTGGAAAAGCTGCCTCTGTGCAATGCAATGCTCAGTGTCTTAACATACACAGCAGTGTGTTCTCTGTCTTCCATAAAAGTCGGCTTTATTCACTCGTGATTGATAGTGTCTGTATAATTATATTATCAACATCAGAATGGGATTGAAAAAAAGGGTTACTTCCTGGTTTCTCTCACCATCTGCAGGGATGTGAAGGGGACGAGTCCAAATCTCCATCCTCACAAGTTTGGGAGAGAAATCAAAAAAAAAAAATTTCCACGTTGATAAAAGCTTGTTGCTTTAAACAGCAATGAGTACTGTAGCAACAGGATTATTACAGGATGCTTTTGCCTTTCATTTTTTAGATCCTAAAAACCTTTGACTTTGTTCAGTCGATTGCTTGAAGAAGGAGAGAAGAATTAAATGTAATGGATGAATGAAAATGCATTGATAAAGACGGTCTGTTGAGGGGGGGAAAAAAAAGATTAGCACTACCTTGTCGATTTAAATCAGCAGAGACGACAGGGCAACATTAATTATAGCGTATACTGTACGTGCACTTCAGTGGTTTTAAAGCTGATTTTCCTCACATTGTTCAGGATGGTTTTCAAATCAGATGTCAGCAGCCCCCTCCCCTCCCCCCCCCCACCCTTTCATCAGAATGATAGGGTATTGTTCAGAGAGAAATTGATCTTGCTATAGTATAAAAACAGTGTCTCTAAAAAATCAACAGGCCTGATGTGTGTTGTGCAGATTGTGAATAGATTAGCGATGCTCCAGCTCGACTCTGAGCGCCTATTTGATGTATCTTTGTTTGCTTGTTAAGATTGAGTTTTTTTTCTTAAATTTAAATTGGAAAATATCAGATCCTGAAATTTTCAAGACATTTTCCGGAGTGCTTGTGTAAAAGAGATGTTGGTGTCAGCTCTGAAGGGCAAATCAATTTACACAGCACCATTCATACAGAGAGCAATTCAAATAAAGTAGTGATTCTAGAGTCAGTTTTGGCCCCATGTTAAAGTCAATTGGGGGGGGGCCCCTCCAACCAGTGTTCATCACCATCATGTCTGCCAGCCGTACTCTTTTTTTTTCCTGTTTCAGATAATTCCTCTTCATTTTTCTTTGTTGACTTTCATTAACAAACTTTGGTGTTCACGGCAATAATGCAACGCTTAGCAGGGTTATGAGAGCGAGTGATTTCAGATGGGGCCCATTTAGGGAGTTGTCCTCCTGTCATTGCACATTTTGGGCCACTGCTTTGGTTAAAGTTTGTGAGCCCTCAGGGGCCTCCTACTGGTCTGGGGCCACAAGCAGCGCCTCTGATTCAAAGTGCTTTACAGAGTTAAAAACAGAACATTAGGAAGTTGTTTTTCAGGGGATAATGCTCACACAGGTTTGAGAAATATGCCCCCTAAATGTCATATCATCACGTTTGTTTGGATACATTCTCCTTGCACACTCAGTTTAGACTGAAAGAGAGGTAAATTATCTCTGGACTTGTTTCAGTGATGATGTGTGTATGGTGTTGATGAGAATTATATCAAAGCAGCTCCATTTGCAAGATTGCAAAATAAAAAAATTCTGGGGCAATTATTACTTGAAAGTATGACTGTGTGATGAAACAGTCCTTTCACAACATGAGGATGACGTCTCAGGCTTGTCGATATTGAACAAAAATCCTTTCCTGATATATTTTAGCTGAATGATGATACACAACATAAATCTCCTCCTTATTATTTTCTGCAAAGACACACAAAACGTCAGCTCAAAGTCAAATCCACATGGACCGAATGTCACACAGTCACGTTTATTAACAGCCAGCTGCACAATCCACATAGAGATTACAAAATAATACTATTAAAATAAAGAAAAAATGTTCCTTTCCTGCATATCAAAATACACACAGCTGTGGGATTTTTGTCACGCAGGGTTTATTTAGAGTTTCTCTGAGGGAGGAAGAGAGGCAGAGCCGGCTGAAGGGGGACAGACTGAGACGAGAAACAGGCTAACACGTGGCTCTAAAGATGAAACGTATAACACAACATGAACTATATCAGTATAAACTACAGGTTCTCAATACACCGCCAACTCTTTCATAAAAAAAAAAAAAAAAAAAAAAAAAAAACAACGAAATGTCTGATATTTTTCAACCAATCAGATTTATTTCATGAAGAATAGTTCATCTCAGACGGTACAGGACATGTGACTGAACAAAGAAACAAAACAAACGTGTTTGAAAAGCGTAGACTTTTTGACCCCCCCAAAAAAATAAAGCTGTGACCCATTTTTGGGTCCTGACCCATCAGTTGAGAACCATTAATAAACAATATTGTGTTAGTCTATATCTTATTTGAAAATATATTGATTAAGAACTGAAAATATCCCCCAGCCTGAATAATGTCACTGTAGTTTTTTAGATTTATGTGTTTACTTTTTTATAAATTTAATTTCAGCCTTTTTTTGCCTTTGTTTTAGTCATAGGACAGAGTAGAGTCTGAAAGGGGACAGGATCAGAAACGAGAGAGAGAGAGAGAGAGAGAGAGAGAGAGAGTATATGGAGCGACATGCGTTAAAGGAGCCACAGCCCGCTCTCTGCACACTAACAGCTCGGCTATCGGTGCCCCCTTAACTTTCCAGATTTTAGTTGTTTTAAAACTTTTGAATTACACCCGGGTCATTTAAGTCATCAGAAGGCTGGACGTTGTGAACGAAACAAGCCGAGCCATCGTTGGCGGCAACTCGGCTAGCAGCCCCCGAAGCGTTGAGGACATAAACTCTTCATAAAGATGAAACACAAAAACATTTAATTTTCATATAAAATACAAATCGATGGAGTTATATGCTCTGAACTCGATTTGCGTGTGAGCGTCTCATCAATGTCTCATCAGCTGATTTGACATGTCGTGAGTTTTTGTTGCTGTGGTAACAACCCAGTCTTGAATTTGTGGTGGGAAAGGAGCCGAGATGCTTGACTTGTGGTCGCCCCCGTGGTTGTTTTGATCTCATCTGATCCGTTGTGTCACTCAGATGATTGTTGATAGGACGGATTGTTATTGTGTGTGTGTGTGCGTGCATGTGTGTATGTGTGTGTGTGCTCGTGCGTGTGTGTGTGTGTGTGTGTGTGTGTGTCACTCAGCAGCTGTTGACTTCTGTCAGGGGACTGGGGCAGCAGCTGTGAATGTGTTTTCATGTTTTTTCCTCTCGTATTTTTGTGAATTTTGAGAGCGACAGATGTGTTTGGCATGTTCTCTCTCCCGCAGCGCTGCATGATACAGACACAGATCTCTACTCCGACTTTCTCTCTCTCTCTCTCTCTCCCTCCATCCCTCTCCTCCTCCTTCTCTTCATTTCCTATTGACAATCATTAGAGCTGCATGAAGATGTCAATTAATCGTTAATTCTACAACAGTAAATAAATCGCCCGCTGTTATGATCGTGCATTTACCATTCGGGTCGTTTTTTTTTTCTCACAGTCCACATGCTCACCAGATCTTATCATAATGTCACACTTTTAATCGCTTCCTCCACCTTCCAGTAGCTTCTTTCTTTTCCTTCATAAGATCTTTACTTCCTTTCTCTTTCTTTTCATTTCCTCCTCGCGTCTTTCCGTCTGATTCCACTTTATTGCCTCCTCCTGCTCTTTCCCTCCATCTCTCTTTTTCTTCATTTCCTCGATCACTTTGTCTTGTTGTCTTCATCTTCCAGTGTGTGTGTGTGTGTGTATGTGTGTGTGTGTGTCAGCAGTATAGCTACCTCCGACCCTTATTTATGAATATTTTGCATGGTTCTGCTACACTTCACTAATGCAACCACTCAGCAATAAGACACACAGCTGCTGACTTAAGGCGTGATGAAGATGGAGATGATAACGATGACGTCTTGGCTCCTGTCGCTCGCTGTTTACTGAAGTCTGGCATTTCTCTTGAGCCGTGACTCTGACACGGTGAGAATAGACAAGGCTGAATATCAACGGGACACTGAATCAGAACAAAACAATGAAGTCTGGAACTGCATCAGATAACAGATTTTGAATTGGATTATTTAATCCAGAAAGTATTTTAAAACAGCCACACCTGTTGAGCCCATCAGTTTCCTCATCAACACTGAGTGGGTGGTATAAATGTTTGGGGACCAAACCAAGTCCACATCAGACCCTGCTTCACCGTGTTTGTTTAAGGGTAGAGTCAGTAGAAATGTTTGTTGCAGCTTGTAAACCACAACATTCA